GTGTGTGTGTGTGTGTGTGTGTGTGTGTGTGTGTGTGTGATTAGTTTCGGCAATTTGTGCGTGCCTGGTTCCCAAACTTTCAGGTCATACTCACACTGACACTTTCGGAAATGTATCCGACTGCAATTACGGTCAAATCTGGATGCAACTGACTGTAATCACGTGCAGAGCTGAGTCAAGAACGTCCTACCGCCTGCACCCGAATAGAACGCCCAGTAATTATAGTTGTAGCTGGAGTGAAAATTGCACCAAATACGGCTATAATGACCGGGCGTTCTATTCGGGTAAAACCGCGTAGTGTGAGTATGCCCTCGCTTTAGATACAGCGACAATGACCGTGCGTTCTATTCGGATAAGGGCGGTGGTAACCGCACCGAGAAACACTCTCAATCAACTACCATCGTCCACTCGACCACAACGCACCCTGATCATGAACGTATACAAGCCTTCTTTCCGGTCCGATACAATCATGATGAATGTGCGTCGCGTTGAGGCGAACCAGAGAGAGATAGAGAGAGAGAGAGAGAGACACAGAGAGAGAGAGAGAGAGAGAGAGAGAGAGAGAGAGAGAGAGAGAGAGAGACTGATCATGAACGTGTACAAGCCTTCTTTACGGTCCCTTACAGTCATGATAAATGTGCGTCGCGTAGAGGCGAAATCAGAGAGAGAGAGAGAGAGAGAGAATGCCTTCACTTACTTCCGATGTTCTTCACTCTTATCCGTCCAACGCACCCTCTGCGATCGCCAACTACGAAGTAAGGAGCAGAGTGGTGTGTGCGTGTGTGCGTGTATGTGAGAGAGAGAGAGAGAGAGAGAGAGAGAGAGAGAGTCCCGTGGGGTGGCGTAGAGGGCTCGGCCGAATTGAAGCCGCGACGCTCAAGCCCTCCGTCCGAATGCAAAAGGGAATTAAGACCCTACCGGTAGGCTAAAGCGGCGCCCACCGCCTCAATTAGCCTTCTGGACCTAGCCACCACTTCGCCTGACGGTGAGTGGGCCTCTCGCCGATAAACGCGGTAAGCGAACATCGCTGCGGCCTAGCGGACCCAAGGGGGGTTTCGGGAGTGCAAAATTCCGAGGGTGAGTGTTGGCCTTAGACACTGCTGCTATTCGAAGGGGGGGGCAGGGACGATGAAAAGGGAGGTTGCAGCTGTTGCGGGGATGGTAAGGGAGGAGCAGCTGTGGGGGCGTGGGGCAACATAAATCCCGCTAAGTTGGTGAGACACCTATACTTCAAGGGTTGCCCTCTACACGCCTTACTAGGCGCCAGCGCGCGGGGAGCGTACCAGCCGGCCCGGCGGTCTCGAGTCCCAACACCTCGGTGTTACCGAGGAGGATTGACTTACCGTGAGGGCACGGGTGCGCAACCCATAGTTCATTTGTTTATGTGGTTCGGGAAGGGTGAGGTAGTGAATATGCTGTATGTATGTTTTGTCATGTTCGCTATACACAAGTCGAAGAGAGTGTGTGTGTGGGGTCCCGGTTGATGCTTTATTCACGATGTTCATTGGACGCTGGACCCAGTTTCCAGCAGGTGGCGCTCCCCATCAATAGACAGGAGAATGTATGTACGTGTGTATGTGTGTGTGTGTGTGTGTGTGTGTGTGTGTGTGTGTGTGTGTGTGTG